CTCCCGTCGCCCCCTTGGCGGGGGGCCCGGGGTGGGCCGCACAGCACCCGGGGAGGTCCGTGCGGGACCCGCCGCCGGTTGCAGCCTTGGCGCGGGGCCTCTATTACTATACATTTTCTTGATAAAGTATCTTCATTTCATTCACCTCAAGAATTTAGTCTTCGCTGTAGACTGTTTAGGAGTGTGGAGTTTAATTTCTGTGTATTTCTAACTTTCTCAACTTGTAAATTTTATTATTGATGTCTAATTTATTCTATGGTGTATCAAGAACAAACTTTATATTATTTCTGTTCATTTAAATGAATTGTGGTGGAGCCAGCAGGTGGCATGGTGGTAGGGGCACTAGACTCTCATAGGGCTCATCTGCAATTTGAGTCCCAGACCTGGCAGCCTGAAATCATGCTGGGTGCGTGTGCATGCTTGCCAAAAATCCTGAGGGGAGATCTGAGGAGAAGAGATTGCAGCATAGCCATCCCCACTCCCCACCACCGGGAAGGGGTGGCTGATTTCTCACTTACCTTCTCAATGTCTTTCTTTCCCTCTCTTTCTGGCAAGTGCATGTACCCTATAGCAATCCTTAAAAAAAAAAAAATTAATTGTGGTTTGCTTTACTCACTATGATATGGTTTCTCTTGGAGAACATCCATGTTTACTTGAAAAGAATGTATTGGGTTGTCAGAAAAGTCATGACATATTTTTTCTGTTTTTCTATGCAAAAATGAATCATGACTTTTCCAATAACACACTATATTATACTGTTTCAGGGTTGAGTGTTTTATAGATGTCTGTTAGGACTAGTTGGTTTATATTGTTGCTCTGGTTTTCTGCGTTCTTACATATGTAAGTTGTTCTACCCATTAAAAGTGAAGTGTTAAAATGTTCAATTATTAGGGCTAGAGATGGTGTAGTGGCTAAAGTACTGAATGTCCAGCATGGTCAACCATGGTTTGAGTCCCACACCTGGTAGCTTGAGAATCATACTGGGCATTTGTGTACCCAAGATCCAAGGAGGACAATGGAAGAAAAGAGATTGTGGGATGGCCATCCCTCAAAAGAGTGATTTCTAACTTTTTCTTTTGCTG